GTTATCATTCTCGAAAGTTATTGGGATTTGGCAATCCGATGGGGACAAATGAGAGATGAGTTTAGGGTTATTTGATGCCCATTTACGGAGTTCAAATTTTCCTAATTTGAGCAAGGTGATTAGATCTCTCTGAAGCGATAAAGCGCCCTCTAGGGAGCTAGATCCGCAGCAAATATCGTCCATGAAAATGTTGTTAAGCAATACTTGGGAAGCTTCAGGAAATGTTTGACTTTCACGAGTGGCGAGTTCTCTAAGGGTTCTAATTGCTAAATAAGGACTTGAACTTATACCAAACGTAACAGTATTCAACCGGTATTCCTGTAAGGGTTCGCTGGGATGAAAGCGCCAAAGTAGTCTTTGGTAATCTCTATGAATTGGGTTTAGTTGGATTTGCAAAAAATGTTGCTTGATATCAGCTAGAAGCACGACAGAATAGAATCTAAATTTGAGTAGAATTTCGCAAATATCATTTTGCAATTTAGGTCCCGTTAAAAGGGTTTCGTTTAGGCTTGTGCCGTTTGATCCTTTAACGGAGGGGTTAAAAACCACCCGGAGTTTTGTGGTTGATTTATCCAGACGAAGCACTCCATGATGCGGTAAATAGCAGCATAGATTTGGCCTAGATTGGTTTTTGGGATTAAAGACATATGACCGTTTTTGAAGTATTCGCTCATAAAATCAGCATACAAGCTATAAAGACTAGGATTTTTTAAGAGTCGAGATTCCAGCGACATGAATAAACGATAGGCTATTGAATAGGTATCTCCAAGGTTAGGAGGGTCGATGTGACGAAATGGTAAATTGACTGTAAAACGACCAGATGTATCCCTGGTGGTTGTCTTTTGGTAAATTTCTTCACACCTTTTTTCTTCGGGCGATAGAAAAGTTTTGGGTTTGATTGCCTCTAATTCCCAGAATTTTCGGATACTTGAATCGAGAGATTGCTCACATGAGATGAAATATGAGCTGACATGGGGTTGAATATCTATATTTTGGGTTTGTCCCAAGAATACCCATCCAAAGATGGTTTCAAAGGCAGAAGGTTGACCTAGTGGTCCTTGAATCCTCCCTGTCCGAAGAATTTCGGTGAATATTTGTGCTCCTAATAGCATGTCTATGGGAGCAGGAATGTTGAATTGGTCATCAGCAAGCTTTAAGTTGGAAATGTGACTCCAAGTTGAAAAATCAATTTGCATTGAAGGCATATTTGCACAAAGTTTTGGCAGGATGAAAACTTGAATATGAAAGGTAGGTTGGGTTTGACCTAAAGGTCGAATGGTGCAAGTAGCTACGCCATTTGTAGATGACGAGGATTGATTTATACCTAAAACCGGAATTGCATTTTTATTTCTTCGAATGCCTAGGCGATTAATACAAGAATCGCTAATTAAATTAATTTGGCTACCACTATCCAGAAGGGCTCTAACTGTTTGGTAATTGCCTCGAACATCGAGAACTTCGAGGTTTATGGTTGCCAAAAGTACTGTGGTTAGTGTCGACGGCGAAGTACAAAGGTTGTTTGGATTAGGATCGATCGCGATGAGACTCATATTTCTTTGGATTTCATTTGGATTTGCTTCGATTTGACTTGAATGTTCTTGGATTGCATTAAAATTGCCTTGGTTTAAATTGGGATTCGTTTGGATTAGACTTGTATTCGCTAGGAATTGATTCGACACTTGGTTTTGATTCAAGGTAAAGTTTGGATTCGAGTAAACTAAATTGGAATTGTTCGAGTTTGAATTTGGGTTTGACGATATTTCAATGGATTGATTATAGGTTGGGTTTGGATTTTGGCGATAAGAATCAGTTATTTGGGGTAGGTGCAATAATGTGTGGTGTCTGTGTCGGCAAATTTTACAGTTGAAGGTACTTGTGCATTCTTGTAAATAGTGATTTGCGCGCAGACAGTTCACACATGCGTTTTGTTGTTTCACGTAGTTGAAACGTTCCGAAGGAGTTTTTGTAATAAATACTCCACATTGAGATAATGGGTGATATAAGTTGTTGCAAAGTTTGCATTTAGTTGAATTTTGATTTAATTGGGGTTGATTATTAGTTGGTTTATAGGCTGGAGCTGGTGTTCGTACCAACAAATTGGAAGGTGTATTCGATTTGTACTGGTTTTGGAAATAGGAATTATTCTTTTTGAACTGATAGTTTGAATTGTTATTTTTTGGAATTTGTTTTGATGTCGAGGGTTGCATATTTTCGCTTTGTGGGATGGTTTGCATTGTTTCTAGGGCTTTGCACTGATTAGTAAGAAATTGGATCAGATTTTGGTAGGTTGGAATTTCGGTAGTGCTAAACTTTAACTCGAAAGCGGTTCTTGTAGAAATATCAATTTTTGACAATAAAATAGAAAATAAACAAAAACACCATGCATCCACCGGGAAGCCTAGATTCTTGAGTGCTGCAATATTCTCCACGAACGTGTCTACTAGCGATCTGAGATCTTTTGGTGCATTATTTTTTATTGAATTTGCATTATAAATTGAGTTCCAATAAGTGCTAGCCAAAAGTCGTTTGTTTTGATACCTTTCGGTTAGTGCATTCCATGCAATGTCGTAATTGCTGGATGTTAATTTGATTGAGTTAAGAATATTTAATGGTTCGCCCTCTAAACATGAAAGTAAATGTTGAAATTTTTTGATATCTGAATAGTTTGTATTATCGTGAACAAGTGACGTAAAAACATCAAAAAACGTTGGCCATTTCTTGAGGTTTCCGTTGAAGGTCGGTATTTTTAATGGTTCTAGTTCATCTCTATATGAATTATTGTTTACAATCGAGGGGGTGAAACCGGAATAATTTGCGCTAGGAAACATCGTAGAAAATATTGCCCTTGTTTGGTGATAAAATGAGTCAGTATCTTTTCGAATTTTATCTTGAGCATCAAATTCTGCGTCGCTATCTCCAAGAAGACCGATAATCTCATTATGAATGGTTTTAAACTGATCATAGTGATCGTCTAGTGATTCATAGGACGCTTTAAAAACTAGCTTTACAGTATCATCGCTTTGAGATTTAATTGCTAAGTTGAAAGTTTCTATAATACGAGCGATTGATACTTTTCGTTGGTTTGTCAACTTTTTTGTTGCCATTTTGTACAATTATAAATATAAATAAATTAAGTTGAAAACTCTGAGTAGATTGTTTATTTGCTAAGAATTGATTTTTTCCTTGTGAATATAGAAATAAAAATTATTACCTTTTAGCTATTATTAATCCCAAACAAATGCACAAAAGTACACCCAAAAACACATCACTAATTCTTCCTTAATTTGTTTTACGTACGCGATAACCGAATAAAAGATTTGAATTGTTGAATTATTGAATTATTTATGCACCTTTGATTCTAATAAGCAAAGCAAACCCCTGTGTTGAATTTATTCTTGCGAAAAACAAAATAAATGGAATCTCGTTTTTCTTACTAAAGGAATTTAAAGGTAAACGTAAACAAACTGTGTACCGAAAATTGGATAGAGTGAGACCTGAGTTGAAAAGAGCGCGGACGAATCGGACAGCGCGGACGACACCTAGCTTGAACCTTGACTATTTGAGATTTGAAAATGACGATAAAAAATTGAAATAATATTCGCGAGACCAAAATTATTTCTTTTTTGAAATTAATCGGGTCGTGGGACCAAATAATGTTCACGAAAATTTGCGTTAGGTTTTCGAAAGTTTAAAGAGCAGCGGGACTGTAGCGCTAAATTCAATTTTGCCGCACAAATATTAATGGACATAAACCCGAGCCATACAAAGACAATGGAGGATTGGCACTTACTTGGTTTATGCTGGTTTTCGTCGATCCAGAGGAGCTCCTCGTGTCCAGAAAGTCTGCTTCTCAGCGACACACCGATACAACACAGTCTTAGAAATAAAAATAAGGAATTTTTGCCTTGAATTCGATAGGTTTTTTGATTTTGATAACGACCGAAAAAGCGGACGTGGTTTTAGAGACACGGCTTCGTACTGTCTCCTTCCTTCTCATAAATCACATATTTTTCACATACGCCGAGTCTGCGCGAGCGGTGCCAATTTTGATTTGAACTTGTATGGCTTTTAACGGTTTTTTCTTTCGTATTTTTGAATAAATATATAAAATAACAAAGTTGCATGAACAATCAATAATGTTAGGAATTATAGGTGAAAATAAAAAACTTTTTATCAAAATAATAATTGTTTTATTTCATACTTTAAATTGATTTTATTGAAATAATTTTAGTTAAAAGTAATTTCAGTTGCTCTAGTAAACCGATGTTTGGACATGATATACCAAATAAACTGAAATCAATTTTCTTGGATTCCCTCATAGTGCTTGTAAATTCATCAAACTCATAATAATATCCATTAGAAAAAAAATATAACAATCCATTATTATAGCGGAATACATGATCAATTTTACTAGGAATTCCAGGAAAATATTCTGTAATTAGTCCTGTATTCTTTACTCTTAAACTACATTCATCGATTTCTACAAACATATTTTCATCAAAAAACCAATAGGTTTTACCCATATATGAACTAACAGCCCCTTGAATATTGGAAATTTGTGGTATTATATTATTAATATGTTCTGTTTTTATTAACCTAAATGATCCATATTCAAAAATATACATTTTATTTTCAATAAATAATACAACATCATTATTAGGCCTTTGATATATTGCAGATATGTTTTGAAAATTTAATTGCAGAAATTTCAACCAATCGGTTATTAAATAAGGCGTATTTTGAATTTTCTTTGATTTCAAATTCAATAACCACACATATTTTTCATTAAAAATATACAATTTTTTGTTAACAATTAAATATCTGTTCAACGTATTAGAATTGACATCACAAATTATTGGACTTTTCTTTCTATCACCTCGATTATCATTCTCTATCTCTTCATTTGATTTTACAATTACCGGCTTATTTGTTTTAGTCGTTTTCGGTTTCATAGTAGTAGTAGTAGTTGTTGTTGTTGTTGTTTGTGATTGATTAAAAGATTATTGTTTTTTCCCATAGAGTTCTTGAATAGCTTCTTTATCATCACTGCTTAATCGAACATCAGGGCCTATGTCAAGTAAAGCAGGATACATAATAGATTGAGTATCATGTGAGTGTCCAATTCCTAGAGCATGTCCTATTTCATGAGTTAAAACTTGCAATAAACTCTTTTGGCTATCTGGAACTGATGGTGCGTCTTCCAAATACCAAGTAAATGCTCTATTCATATGAATTTCCACAGTCTCAGATTGTAAACTTGGAAAATAAGAATGTGCCAGAACATAATAATGAAATTCATATGGACATTCATTTTTATTAGCATACAATGAATGATTGGAATAATTAAATGATATTATTATATTTGGGTTGACATTGGAATAGACAAATTTCAAGTTTGTCTCGTTTTCCCATAAGTTGAAAGCATTCTCTGCAACTTTTATATATTTTTGTTTTATACGTAAATGTGAAGTGGGAGGATGTATAATCCATTTTATTATTTTATATTTCCATTTTCCTTCATCAACATTTCCAATTTGATAATTATTATCTCTTGTGCCACACCAAAATCTCTCAATTAAAGAAGCAGTTTCACCATTCAATGTTCCATCAGCTTTTAAATTATAAGCAATTTGAAACTCTTTCAGAGCCTTTTCAGGTGTTACTAAATCAGACACATTATTATTTTGAGAAATATTCAAGTATCCATGATAACTTAAAAAATCTATTAGGTCTTTTTCTTCTAATTTACTTCCGTCTGTTAAACCAAAAACTAATAGCACTAATAAAAAAATACATCTTGCACACTACACTGTAGGCTACTGACTATTATTAACTTGTGTTTTGATTATAATAAATTTTAACTATCACTAATTTAAACAAAAACGAATCTCAGTTAAAATAATGTAACGGTAGAACAGCGAAACACAATTGCGATATTTTTAGAAACACAAACAATAATCTCATTCATAGATAGTTTTTGAACGCTTGCCAAATTCTTGTGCGTCATCACGCGCGAGTTTTAATAAGATTCTTTTCTTTTGTTCTTTCATCACCCAAGGCTGCTTTGACATTCAGATTTTTTTAGACTAGGCTAGGCTTGGACATTATTCTTTCTACAACCTCTTCTGGTCATTGACGATAGGATTCTTCAGATTTCATATGCAGATTTTTTCTACTTCTTCAGATGTGGATGGCATGAGCCATCGAGAGAGACCAATGTACGTGTAACCCCGCTATCTATACTACTCCTATGCACGTTCTCTACGTCGAAAAACATTTTTTCGAGCTGAGGAAACTCGTTCGTGATTTGCTTCAAACTGATGTCGTGCATGAAAGTCGTTTTGTTGTTCTCAACCACTCGATGACTCATGGTTACGTGCGGCGAGTTTAGAAATTTGTTAATGACATAGCAACCGCAATTGATGTGCAACATTTGCCTGATGAAATTATTGAGCTGCTTACAGCGACCAATTAATTTCGGCTCAACAATCTGACTCCAAGGTAATTGATCCTTGTTGATCTGGCAGTAGTGCTCTGTTTGATCGCAAAAAATACTTTCTATTACTTCGTTCGTTTCCATGCCGAGTGCCACTCGAATGCGATCCTCGTGAGTAGCACCAAATAGAGTTTCCAGGCGCATTGTGTTCAAAAAAAATTTCTCAGGTTACCAACGAGTCGCTGTAGTTGAGTTGTGGAAGATTCGCATTAAACAACGACGGTACGGTTCGATTAAAAACCGATTGCGTCGGCATCTGAAATACCAGGCTCTTTATAGCGTCCACATCTTTACTCGTGCTAATTTGATCACGCACTTTAAAATAGTTCGAGAGTGTTACAAGTTCATTACCGGTTTTCTGAATTTGCGTACCGTGATCTTTCAATGGTCTAACTATCTGCGTTTCCAGTACATTTTTTATTTGGTTCAATCCGGTATTAATGCGGTCAAGAGTTTGTTCGCGGTCTTTGGATAAACGATCCATTAGTCTAGTTTCCAACTGATTAACCGTCTCTTGAAAACGAGTGGCGGCTGTCCCAAGACCGTAACGGGCCCTACGATAACCGGTACCGTTTGAGTCTACAGCTGCGTCCATTGAATCCATTGAATCCATTGAATGCATACTGTGTCCGTTGTCACCTATCGCCGCATAATTCGAGTATTCTGAACGTGAAGTTGCCTTCGATTTGCTTCGCCAAAGTTTAAAGAGCAAGTAACAACACCCGAATCTGATGAACGTGTATATTACATATTTGACAATATTTCCCAAATTGGCCAGCGAACCTATAATCGAACGAGGCAACTGGTTGTAAAGATCCGCTATTGTTTCGCTTATCGACTTGGAAACGCATTTGATCACCTCGTTTGCATGTAATATGGTCGGATCGTAATTTTCTTTACCCTGCGAATTTTCTTTGGACGCTGTGCATTTCAAACATTGTGGAGAATTCGACGTACAAGTACAATCCGAAAGCGGGAAATTAGTCGGAAGAGTCGTACAGGCACCCATGCCCGAACCCACCGTGGGAAACGAACAAGAGCATTTAATTATTTTACAGCCCACAGTTGTTTGATTATGCGTTTTATAATAGATACAACCAGAGCGAATTTCTGCTATCGCGTTCAGCGCACTATAGATGGTCCCGCCGATAAAGATCGACCCAATGGCGAACAAAGCATATTTTCCAGTTTTAGTTTTCCTTTCTTCAATTTTGTCCACCTTCTCTTTGGTCTTTGAGTCTTTGGCAATCTCTGTTTCGAGTTCCGCCGAATTCGTTTTCAGGTCGAGATCCGGCAGAGAGCTACGGATCTCTTCGCCGCTTGCCGCAATGTTTTTCAAATGTTTGTCGGGCATTTCCAGAGCCTCTCGATTCATAGCCTGAATATATCGGTTTGTCTCGACGGCCATCGATGCCATTGCGGGATTGGCTTTCGAAAGCGTTCGAGCAGCTTCCCCTTCTCGTAGACCGGAAATAAAGTCATGCGTATCCATTGAACCGATCGTTTTGAAATTCACGGTTTCCGTCGAACCAAAAAACTCCTTCATTAGTTCGTTAGAATTATCGAGCAGCTTCAAGTTCTTTTTGAAATCCCCTTCGATCGTTTCTCTCGCCCAGGCCCCTCTGATTTCGCTAGAGAAACCCATCTCCTTAGTTTGGGTCTAACGTTCGTCGGCATAGAAAAATCTCGTAAAAAAATATACCCAACTAAGTCGGAGTGGAAGCCATGGAGCTGGACGAATTCTTGTAGCTACTTTCCGGTTTTATGATATAGACAAACGCTGCCAGTGAAATTAAAGCAATAGAAATTGTAATAACTCGAGACGATTGGGGTTCTTAGGCCTTCAGTAAAACTACTATGTTGGTTTACTTCATAATGTATATTAATATCATAATGCATTTTCATAAGCGAACAGCGGTCATTGTACCTGCTGACTTAACAATTAGGTAACGGCAATAATATAATAATATAATATTAGCTAACTAATCAATTTGCACCATCAAATGCCATACCGGGTGTATTTACCCTATTACACCTCCCCCCAATAAATAAAAGAATTTTCTTTCTATTGAATGAAAATTCTTCTTCTTATCAGAAAGTAGGTAAAATGTTAAAATGTGTAATACAGCAATAAAATACAACCAATAAAAAAAAAAAATTAAAAAAAATTTTTACCTTGTTTTTTTCCCAATTAATTAAAAATAATTATTTTCTAGAATCCTTCTTAAAACTTAATGAAATTAAAAAAAAATACACCTAATAAGCATACAATACTGGTACTAGGGGCCCCATAATAAAATACCTAACAATTACATAATATTTCCTAACTCTTAACTACACAATATAGATTTTTGTCCTGTTCTTATGAACGATAATTTCTTTATTATTTTTCACAATTTTTACATTAAGGGACAAATCCTCTAATACTAAATATGGTCCCAAAAAACAGGGACTGGAGATCTTATCTCCCGTCTCATTTTTAACTAAGACCATATCTCCTTTTTTGTAAGAAATAGGGTTTGAAGTTTTATCATAATTTTGTTTTCGCTTCAATTTGGAATGAATTAAATTTTTTCTCGCATCATCGTTTGCCTTTTGTAATCTGTATTTCAGCTCTAAAGGGTAGTTGTCAAAATTATTTATAGGATCGATGGTATTGGTTAAGTTACTTGGAATGTGACATTTTCGTCCGAAAACTAGCTCAAACGGAGTATATCGAGTTTCTGAGTGCACTGTGGTATTGTAAGAAAAACTCCAATATGGAATCCACTCGCTCCAAGCAGCATTGTTATCAGATGCTTGGGTTCGGAGGAATGCTCCTAAGACTTTATGTGAATTTTCCAGTGCGCCTATACTTTCGTGATGATAGGCAGTTGATTGAAGATGATTTATTTTCAAGATTTTCGCAATTTCGGCCATAGTAGAAGAGATAAATTCGGTACCCCTATCAGTAGCTATTCCTGAGGGAATTCCGTATCTCGAAATAAAGTTATCCACGAAACTTTTCGCAACAGTTAATGCATCTTTGGTTTTCAATGGATATGCTTCAATGAATTTTGTTAATTCGCACTGAAGAGTTAGTATACAGAGTGAGTTTTATGTATGGAAACGCCCAATTATCTCAAAAACGGCTTGCTCGATTTTTATAAATTTTGGTATGTGAGGGTATTGTTATATGGCCGATATTATCGTGCCATTTACATGGTTGTCAGATCATTCGATTTTTGGCAACTATTAGGAACTTTGTTATTTCAAATGGATCACCCTGTATATTTTTCAGTTTTCGTAATCCCTGAATAATACTGAATATTTTTCATGAAATGTTTCCTATACCCAAATGCCTTAATTTAGGAATTATAGCTACATTTACATTAAAAACCGCAAAAGTTGAAATAATTCATTGGCTTGTCCCGCGTGATGAGAGCTCGTCGCGGGAACGTCTCGTCATGTCTGTGCACACCTTAAGATCTCTATGACTACAAAAATAATAGCTTTCACGTTTCAGTAAATTATTATTTGTCAGTTTTCATTGAATACCATAATGAATCGTTCATCTGAAAAAAAAAAAACGAATTAAGATTTTAATTTAATTTAATTTTATTAGGATATGGTTGTATGCGTAGAAGTCCACAAGATAATTTATATCCCAACCGAAATTCCATTACAAAATCTACTGTGAGTAAGCTGGTAAAAAAGTTTACCCAAACTGATGCAATGAAAGATTTACCCAAATCTGGGCGCAGGAAAACTAAATTAACTGAAAACAATAGCTATCTTAATATTACTTTTTCATGGTTGGCTCACACACAAACGGAAAATCCTTTACCACTCAACGAGCGGCGTGTACACTGAGATGTCGATGGACATTGCGCTGTAGGTTATAGTTTTCGAGAAAAGTATTCATGCCTTTGGAAGTTCATTCCAGAGCTAGGCAGCCCTCCAGACCAAATTGACTTCTGAACAGTGACGTCCTAGGTGTTCGCAGCTGAATTGTATGTTCATGAGCTGCTTGTGTTGACGAGTGTATCTGTTTGGTACAACTCTGGGCAGAGTCACAAGTGTCAGTTAATTCGAGCACCTGCTGTAATGATATCGATAGAATAGTGATAGGTCTACCACTTTTTCCCGAGGTTTATGGCTATTAATGGTATTTGGTCAACTCCAGGTCAGCAACAGTTTTCGAGGGATGCTCTATAGAGCGCCCCTAGCTTTTGTGCTGGTGCCTTGGCACTCGACAGGAGCTATTAATTGATCACTTCTCCGAACTGTTTTTTTGCCTTTTTTTCTTCTTCTTCGCCATTGGTCTGCTTACAGTGGTTTCTAGTCGTGAGAATGTATTGAGATTTTAGGCTGTCGGATTACGATGCCATTTGCAATAAGCAGCATTTTTATAATTTCCCGCTGTTGAGCAGTTTTTATTGAACCATGGTTTGATAGCTAGTTCACAGGTTGCGGAGTTGGGATTGTGATCTGATGAACCCAACGAGGGTTGAAAAATCTAAATTTATCCAACCCATTACAGCAGCTGCTCAAAATGTTGTCCGTTGACTTCCAGACAACAAGCCATGCGATTTTTAAAACTTTGCAATACATTTTGCAACATCCCTGTCTGCTCTATTCTTCTTATCTCGTTGGTGATTCTATCTCTCAATTCCTCAATATTGAGAGGTTTTGTTTTATAAACAGTGTTTTTCAAGTGGCCCCATAGGAAATAGTCTAGAGGATTCATGTCGGGTGATCGAGGAGACCATTCGATAGATCCACGCCTTCCAATCCATCTTCCGGGAAACAAACGATTTAGGTATTGTCTCACCTCACGGGCATAGTGGGGTGGAGCTCCATCTTGTTGCAGCCAAATATTGTTTTGGGGAATATTGTTATTGTCTGAAAGTTTCAATAAATTATTTTTTTTTTTAATTTTAAAGGCAATTGAAAATACTCACTTGGATTTGGAAATAACCGAGCCAACTCAGGTATAATACTATCTTCCAATAAACGTAAATACGCGGGACCATTCAAGTTTCCTTCAATAAAAAACGGTCCAATTATTCTGTCGCCTATTATTCCAGCCCATACATTCAGTTTCTCGGGATATTGGGTGTGGGATTCACGCATCCAATGAGGATTGTTACGAGACCAGTATCTACAATTATGCCGATTTACGTTGCCATTGATAAGAAAAGTGGCCTCATCGCTAAACATAACATTATTTAAAAAATTTGGATTGTTTGGATCGTAACATTTTCTCATCATTGTATCGGCAAACTCCTCACGTCTATCAAAATCGTCATCTGACAACTCCTGAACCAACCTCACTTTGTATGGATGGAATTTATTACCATGCAGAATTCTCATCACGGTTGTTTGAGAAACTTCAAGTTCCCTGGATATTTGCCTAGTACTCAAGTGAGGATCGTCTTCTAACATGACACAAACATCTAGAGATTTGTTGTCAGTTGATTTAGTCTTCCTGCGCCCTGATTTGGGTAGATCTTTTACTCCAGCAGTTTGGGTAAACTTTTTAAGCAATTTACTAACAGTTGATTTTGTAATGGGATTGCGGTTGGGATATAAATCATTGAAAATATCACACGTTTCTTGTTGACTTCTACGCCTATCACCATATCCCAATATCATCAAAATCTCAATTCGTTCTTTTTCAGATAAACGATTCATTATCACATTCAATGAAAACTGACAAATAATAATTTACTGAAACGTGAAAGCTATTATTTTTGTAGTCATAGAGATCTTAAGGTGTGCACAGACATGACGAGACGCTCCCGCGACGAGCTCTCATCACGCGGGACAAGCCAATGAATTATTTCAACTTTTGCGGTTTTTAATGTAAATGTAGCTATAATTCCTAAATTAAGGCATTTGGGTATAGGAAACATTTCATGAAAAATATTCAGTATTATTCAGGGATTACGAAAACTGAAAAATATACAGGGTGATCCATTTGAAATAACAAAGTTCCTAATAGTTGCCAAAAATCGAATGATCTGACAACCATGTAAATGGCACGATAATATCGGCCATATAACAATACCCTCACATACCAAAATTTATAAAAATCGAGCAAGCCGTTTTTGAGATAATTGGGCGTTTCCATACATAAAACTCACTCTGTATAAGAAAATTCATTAATATCCGTTGGCAGAGGTCCTACCAAATCTAAATATACCTTTTGAAATGCAAAATTAGCTGTACTTGTAATTACCATGGGTTCTTTAATGTAATGATCTGTATGTTTCATTTTTTGGCAACTGTCGCATCTTTTTACAAATTTTTGAACGTCTTTATACATTCCTGACCAATAATAGTACTTTTTAATATTATTCACCATTCGATTAATTCCCGCGTGTCCACTAGTGGGCAGTAAATGAAAATCATTTAATATTATTCGCTTTTCGTCCTTGTCAACAATTCTTTTCACATCGCTAATAACATATATACGGGGACCGGTCCAATTATCATCTTTTATTTCTTTCAATATCCATTCAATAATGTCTTTATTATTTTTATCTTTTAACATAACTAATTCGCGAATTTTTAATCGATTGCTTAGAATAATCAAATCTCTCAACATTCCGTCTCGCGTCAATGTTGATCGAGCATTTTGATTAAA